TACGTGTGGAAAAAAGAAAAGTGTGTGAAAAAAGAAAAGTATGCTCGCCAAGGATCGGGGTCTTGTGCCTACGTATTCTCAAAAGGAACTTTGAGAAATCATAGCATCCGTAGTTCACGGAACCATGGGTTGTTAGGTTCTAAGAACCAAGAACAATAACAAAGACAAATAAACAAGGGACATGCACAATGACAATAAGTCAACATGCAATCCCTCCCTTGGATTAGGTCAACAAGGATAAAAAGAAAGCAACAGATACATGGAAAAACATCATGTAAATAACAAGCAGATAAGGCACAGACACAGTACACAGAAAAGCATCATGCATGGTCAGACAGACAAAATAGCACAGAATACGTATGAAAAAATATCATGGTAATCAGATAGTGAAAAGTCAACAGAGATAAATGACAAAACATTATAGTATTAACAAGTAGAATTAACAACATTCATGAAAAAATATCATGCATAGACAGACAAAGATATGCGGCAAAACATCGCGAATAAAATTCACAAACAGTCACGGAAAAACATCATAAGAAAACATAGAGAAATAATCAAGGAAAAACATCAAGATCAAATCACGCAAATAAGCTCAAGATGTGGAAGCAAAACAATCGCAAGATAAAATCGAACAACAAGAGAATTATTAACTAATTTAAATATAAATATTTAATAAAATTAATTAATAATTTAATTAATCAATATTAAATAAAAATATTTAAATTAGTTAATAATCAAACAATTTTTTTTCACATTTTTTTAAATATTTAACAAATATTAAAAACAAAAGGTTAAAATATTTTTTAGGCATTTTTTCTAATATTTAAATCAAAGTAATTAAAAATAATATTTTTATATTTTAATATTTTCACAAATAACTAATAAAAATAAATAATCAAAATCTTTTCAAAGTTAGTAGAAAACTTCATAACTAAAAGACTACCCTACATATCTAGATCTCAAGTAGCAAGAATAAGTAATCCATAATGCAATAGTATCACATTGATGCAAGTTTCTAACATTAAAACATTAGTAGAATCCATTAATAACTTAGAAATATTTAGAAACCAAAACATAAATAAACAACAACAAAACTCAAAAAAATTGACTTCAAAATACACGTTTGTGCTATACTGAACGGAGCATAAAAATGCGTCGCCGAAATTGATTTGCAGGCAGAATACATACATATATACATAAAAAATAGAACAATAAGCTTAGATATGCACCTATACAATACTAAAGTAATATAATATATATTCCTACTTATAAAAGAAACAAAATCAATAAATAAATATTTAAATGTTCAAACCAGCACACAACAGAAAAATAGAAATAACATTGACAACTCACATCAAAGACACAGAGCTATTAGAAATGCTAAAAGTCACTGAGTCTAGAGGTTGAAAAAAAGAAAATAAAAAACTAACCTCTTCTTTATGTTTATGAGAGTCTGAGTGAACTCATGAATAGTAAAAATTGAAAATAGAAAAAGTAGCAGGTTTTCTATAGGTCATTCCTTTTTTTTATGGATCCAAAATCAAACAAAAAAAAAAAAGTAGAAAAGAAAATTCACAGCTGCACCGCGTGGATGCTTCTTTATGACCTTAATGAGTTTATTAGTGTATAAAAGAGTTTCAAAAACTAAATCAAAACAAAAATTAAATTATTCTAAATAAATTAAATTAAATTAAAATTATAAACTAGAAAAATCTATTTAATTATTTTGAACCTATTGTCAAAAATTAAAATTAAAAAAAAAAAACAGACTCAAAAATGAAAAAAAAGTTTGGCGCAAAAGTGTTCGAAAAAAATGGATACATCAAAGTGATCAATAAAAAATATACGATCCGAAAAAATACAGCGTTTGATCAAATTTTGAAATAAATTTTACCCGCTAAAATGACTTAAACTGTCCAAAAATACAATCGAAAAGTGGTCGAAAATTTTAAATGAACATGTCAGGTTAAACTATGCGAAACGTAGATTAATATGACTGACATTTGCAAACTCAATTATAAACTTTTCCGTCCACTGATTTTACGCACTATTGACTTTTGGTTTGATCGATTCGACTGTAATTCCAACAAGTTTATTTCAGCTAATACATAAAGTAGTATGAACAATGCAAGAGATGATAAACTATATAGATGATGCAAAAAGACGTGGGATCTTAGAGTAAAAAATTAGGGTATGACACATTGGATAAGTATGCCTGCATAGTGGAGGTTTTAGAGGTTGTGACTCTCTTAGGTTCCATTTAGGGATGATGAATAAAAACCAAGCAAGACTTCTAGTTGTGGAGTTGGCGGTGGTATCTAAGGTCTGATCAGAGGCATTAGAGTAGATTCAATTATCTAATATGCTTGGAGGAGATTTGGATGTAGTGGAGTATCTATTACTTGATCTAAAATACCTTGAGGAGGATGCAAAGACAATTGATTAATTGCTACTTGAGTGGTAGCGGCTTCGCGTACTATAGTAGAATGAGTAACTTTAGATCTAGCCATTACTAAACAGTTTAAAAGTCAAGAATTTGAAAATTCAAGAAAAATTAATGTTGATATGATATTTTATTAGGCCAAACGCTGTGGATCTAACGTTCAATTAAAGAACTCCTATTTGATAAACTAAAAAGGTTTTGAACCGATAGATTGAAGAAAGAATGTGCGATTATGAAAAATGCGGGAATCATAAGTCGATTCCTACAAACGCTGCGAATGTTTCACTATGAAACCATAATTGATTGGTGAATAAGTGGTTGTGGTGGACAACAATGGATCAGAGCTATGGGCACGGTAGATAAATGGCTGACCTGTAAAGTTAGCACACCAATACTCAAGTCAACAAGTGAAGGGGAATAGTGAATGAAAATTGTTTTTTAAATTGTCTACTAGAAACTCGCTCGTTTTCTCTTTATATAATGTAGATGTTATATAAAGGGGAACCGTTAGATGTATTTAGAATTTGGATCACTTTTATTATCTCTTAAGGTAATTCTCATCCACTTTGAATGTTTTAGAAAAATTGTAACTTCTTTTGAGTGGTCGGTCAGCGACTAATATGATCGGCCTATAACAAGTTTATTAAATAATTAAAGAAAGTATTTATTTACACAAATTAAAGGAAATAAATTGTCTCTAGTTTTGTAATTATAAGGCAATGATAAGTCCAACTATTAAGTTACTATTTTTTTATTTGTACATGAAGTGATTATAGTCATTTTTTTCCCGATAGAAATTGAATATCCTCTACATGTAACTGCATAGACTAATCTCTTAAGTTGGAGAAGATTATAATAGACGATAAAACTCTTTCTCAAAAGATTTTACTTTTTTTTATATCTTGGTATTCGGCTTTGCGACCGACTAATTCAAGAGGACCAATCCCAACGTTCGTTAGCGGGGGGCCTCATTTAAAGGCAAAACAAAGCTCCGTATGGACTGACCCAACACAAGGATTGATTACACCTAGTAGGATTTAAATCTGAGACGTTGAAAAGAACATACTCTCAAGACCCAAGTCTCCACCACTGGGCCAACCCTTGAGGGTTTCAAAAGATTTAACATTGATGCGTGCCTAAGACTGAGTTCGAACCCAAGACTTCTAGTTAAGTTGAAAGAGACCATTACCATCATTATTTTAGAACCTGGACTGATCATCAAACTGATAAGGGACTAAGTCATGGGTTTATTAGTCAAGCCACTAGATCACTGGTAGAATCATATTGCTAAACCAAATTAAATCGGATAACTCAATTGAATAAATCAATCCCTATAAAAATATTATATAGTTATTAAACTGATTGAACCGTATGACTCAGTCATTAAAATAATACAACACCTACAAAATTTCATAATTTTTTACAAGTTCATTCATTAAATTCTAATTATAAACATATTTATCACCCACGACAAAATTCAAATTCAAATAAGTTTTGAGCAAAGTTTAATTACAACCTAAACTGAATAACAAAATAATTGATTGTGTTTAATAAATTTAGTTTCAATGAAGAAAAGTAATTTCAAATAAGTTTTTGAATAAAGTCTATTTATATTTTAATTTCATTTCTTTTTTAAAAGAATTATTAAAAACAACATCGTTTTGTTCGAAAAAAAGAACCTTTTAATTTGTCGGTTTTTACCGGTTCTAATCGGTTTTCACTAGTTCAACGGCTTATCCGATTCAATATTCAAACCAGATTGATGACCCTTTCAATTCTCGATTCAATCGATTCAATCTTGTTTTTAAAATACAACTTACTACCTCATCAAATATTTGTTAATAATAATAATTGAAAAAAGTATTTCTTTTCACAAATTAAAAGAAACAAATCGTCTAAATATTGTTGATTCGTAATTACAAGTATGATGATAAGTACTAATTTACTATTCTTTTTAATAACTCCGTGAGTAATTGCAAAGATTACTTCATTCAGTCGGGGAGAATTACAATAAGTGATAAATTACAAATTAGAAGATACTCTTACTATTTTATCGAAATGGTATATTAATTTTAATCTATAACATATATAAATGTAAAATTTGATTTTGGTGTAGCCTATCTTTCTATCTATTTTATCCTTGTTTTAATGTATAATTTATTCAATAACTTCTATTAAAAAAATTATTACTATTAATTTTCATATAACTTTCTCTTATTAACTTTTTATTTAATTTTTACTATTAATCTTTTTTATAATTTTCATTTAAAATTATATTAAATAAAAAATATTATTTATATTTTTAAGTGTGTATTAAAAAAACGGACAGAATACTCACTTCACTTATTTTATTTCTAAACATTTTATTTTATTTTTTTAATAAAAAAATTATAATTATGACTAAATTAAGCTCGGGAAAACTAGGGTTGTTTATATTTATCCAAAAAAAATAAAAACCAAGTGAGTTACATCGAAACGAAAGCAAAGAAGGGTTTTCAGTTTCGTGAAGAGAAACACATCTCCAGAAGGCGACGGAATCGAATTTGCGATAGCGATGGCATTCAACAACGGACTCAGATCTGCTGCGAAGCTCATCGCTTCTTCTGAATCCTCCATCTCCAAATCAGGTCAGATCCATCACCTTTCTCTCTTTCATACCTCTTAAATCTTATTATTACTAGATTCTTCCGTGTTGAATCCGTTAGGGTTATGGTAGGATCTGTAAATGGAAGATTTTCTGTTTTTTTTTTCAATTTCAATTTTATTAGGTTTTTTTATCTTCTGTTGTTGATAGTAAATAAAATAAATAAGATTTTTGCTAGCTGTGAATTCAGTGTTTATGATTTATTCTCTTAAAAAATGGTAGAATTGTTGGTACTGCTGAGGCGATGGATGTTGGATGAGGCTTGATTTGTTTAAGGGAGGGGCAGGGCTAAATCTGATGTTTTCACTGCATTGCAATTTGAGTTTCATTTTTTTTTTTTCGTTTGTTATTTGACAATTTAACATGTGCATATCTCATTTATATGATTGGGTTTTGTTAAGAGTCATACAACAGACAGAAATATATGTCTTGAACATGTGCTTATAAATGGGGTAATCTTCACCCTTCAAGTCGGTTTTGTAGGGATGCGATAGGCCTACTCACATTTTTTAATATCGATTCAGAGCCTGGCTTGATCCTAAGACCGAGGTTTCATTTAAGTCTGATAAAACTTAATTGTTGTTATGGAGATAAATTAAACCCTGAATTTGTGTCTAATTATACCCGGAGCATTATTAATAACATTTTCATATCGATAGTTTTATCTAGTAAGAATGAATTGTGTGTGAGTTAGAGGGATTTTTGTTAGTCATTGAAGTAACAGTTAATGGCTTAGGTTAAAAAGGTCATTTTATTAACCTCACATGACACTTTTGTCTTCACAATTTTCTCTTTTCCTATTAGTGTTATAACCATCTTGAATCAAAATACTCAGATCACTATCCTTGCATACTTCTCAAGACCTAACCTTGGATCAAAATGTATGAAGTACCATCCTCTTAATCCCTCAAACATACAGAACCCCGTCCTTTAATATTTCACTAGAATGAACCTTCAGTTTCATGTATTTATAAATAATAATTATTGTATTTAGTTTCATCCATGTAGCTGGCACTATATATTGGGATAAAGTTTGATTGCTATTGTTTTGTAAACAAAAACGAAAACATAAATATTCAATGAATTCAGCATGAAACTTCTGGAAGGGTAGAAGTCAAAGAGTTAGTAAAAAATGCGTCAATGGTGGAGGGTTATATAAGCTGAAACTCCATGATTATTATTTTTCAAATAAATTAACCAATAAAGAGAATGTGTGTCATAGTTTTATGCTTGGCAACCTTGTTGGTGGAATATTTGATTGTCGTGGTAGAGTCATTTTTGACCTCTCTATGGCTTGCTTTTATGAAATCCCCATCAAGTGTGCAACAGTCAACTACAGTTGTAAGGGTCCAAAACCAGCATCACCATATTGATGGGGTGACATTGGGGTGACATTGGCCGTAAAATGTTATTTGTTGGCTGTGGGTGTGTAAACTGACATCATGGCAATTATCACTTGATATGTTCCTTATTTAAAAATGTTTAGGAATAGTCATTGTTACCCTTAGTTTTTTACTTTCTAATTAGAAGACATTGTTATTATGTTGTGACAGTGATTAGAAATTTTCATTCAACTGGTGTGAAGAGGATGGGAGGTGGACATGGCCACAGCGAGCCAGACTATATGCATTCATATCACATGTACAACCTGGATCAGATGAAGCATCAGGGATTGAAAATGTCACTTGCAGTGTTCACTGCTTTCAGCATCGGTGTTGGAGTTCCTGTCTTTGCAGTCGTTTTCCAGCAAAAGAAGACAGCATCTGGTTGATTCATTTGCACTAGCATATTGTTTTTGGTGATTGTTGTCTTATTACTTTGACCGTGTTCATGTTTAATTTTCCATATGGATTTTCCATATATCTGCGGTAATAATCAACTGTCAAATACTCGTGGTTGAACATTTTTATTTCTTAATACAAAGTATAGAATTAAAATGTTCTTCTTTCAGGTAGTTTGTCAATTATGTGATAGTTTGCAATAAACTCTCATTTGTTGCTTGGGATGTTGAGACGAGAATATTATTTCACAAAAGTAGCAACCCTGAAACATCATAGCATAATGAGTTGATTTGGTTCCTATCTGAGCTCAAAACCATGCAGCTCAAAACCATGCATATGCATAATCACATCAATGTAGAATTGAATGATTAAAGTTATATTGAAAAAATATTGGCAGTTTTTTTTTGGAAAAGGCAAAAGTTTTATTGAGCTACAGACAGAACGGCAAAATCCAAAACCGAAGCACATTTCGGGCCCACAAAACTATAAAATCTGGGACGACTGCCATTAAAACTCTAAGCCACTGCAACGACTGCCATTAAAACTCTAAGCCACTGCAACATACAAGATGGCTAAAACCACTAGCACTCAAAAGAACTCCCAAAAAGAGCTCCAATAAATTCATGATCAGATTCCCCACTCCAAACTTGCCTCCAAACAGACACTAACAACATTCTCGACATCTTCAGAACACGATGACCAAGCGCGAGATCTTGATGGAATTGATCACCCAATGACAAGCCTAAATTGCACGATGACCAAGCGCGAGATCTTGATGGAATTGATCACCCAATGACAAGCCTAAATTGCTATCAATCGTGCTCAGCTGATGCCTAGCAGCCTCCAAAATCACACCAAGCACTATTTGAATAACACAAACAATGCCAACGATTGGATCCAATGATAACTCGCAAAATCTGAAACTTCCACCATATCAGACCTTGACTGCATCCCAACCAACTATGATCCAGACAATATCAAAATGCTGCCTTGCTGAAAACGCCCAGAAACGACCCTAGAGTGATACGATTGACAGAAACTACTGGCCAATGGAACACTCTAAGCATTCCAAATACAGCGCAAATGACAACCATGAGCTGCAACAACATTTTTTTCCAACTGTCCACACCCTTTGCCAAACTTTACTTTAACTGCTACTCATCTGCCACAACTCCAAATCATACTACCAATTCCACATTCAGATAATTATCCCATGACAGACCCTGCCTATATGTTTCAAGCATAATATGGGATTCACATGCCATTGGTATATACAATAGTTTAGGCTCTTAAATTTGATGTTCAGCCAATTCCACGAGTTCCGTTGCAGTGCTTCGACCATTTGGTATAGCTTCACGTCCTTGTTGATTATAAAATCATTTTTTCCTTTCCATATGCTCCAAATGCATGCAAACCATATTGCAATATCTCTTAGCTACCTCTTAGCTACCGTACTTCTGTTGCCAAAAGTTTCTGCAAACTGTTCCATATGGGTCATGCAACTATTTTGAAACACATTCTAGAGACCGAACCAATTACTGACACTGTACCGAATACCTGCAAACAAAGCCAAAGGACACTTAAAAAAGAGTTGTGAGACTGATTCAATGGAACCACCCCCGACACAATGACACGGCTTTTGGTACGTAGCCTATTATGGAACATTCTCCATAATCAAGATGCTTTTTATGTACTCTCACACTTCCTCTTTCTAATACAAGTGCAATTTGGGGAGAAACTTATCATTTGGTTAGATGGGAAATACCAAGCATTAGTGATAATGGGAAAAGTCGAAAAATGAAAAATAAAACCATTATTTTGGATCGAGTTTAAATGTTAACGACATAAGTGAAAGAGTCATTGAACTAAACCACATTTATGGTTTAGTTCAATTTGCAATAATCACTTAAATAAAAATTTAATTAATTAATAAAATAGTTTTAATTTAATTTAAAATTAGTTTATAATTATTTTACAATTTTAAATTAATTATATATTTTAAACTCTTTTAAAATCAAAATTTTTAAACTTTACAAAATTTTTTACTTTTTTTCAATTTTTTTAAAAAATAACTATACTATTTTAAAATTATTTTTGAGAATTATTTTTTAAAATTTATTGAAATTTTTTTTATTTTCTTTTTAATTTTCATATTTTCTATCTAAGAAAATTAAAATCGATTTTTTGTATTTCCAAAAATTCTCGAATTTCTATATTTTTTTTAAATTTAAAATCGATTTATGATTTTTTAAAACTAATTTATAATCAGTTTACAAGTTTAAACTAATTATATATTTTGAACTCTTTTAAAACCAAAATTTTTAAACTTTACAAAAAGTTAAAATTTCTTAATATTTAAAATTTTTTCAATTTTTTTTAAATAATTATATATTTTTAAAAATTATTCCTTAAATTTATTTGAATTTTTTTTTAATTTTCAGATTTTGTATCTACGAGAATTAAAATCGATTTTTTGTATTTTAAAAAATTCTCGAATTTCTGTATTTTTGAAAAAACTTAATATTTTTCATATTTAAAAAAAAACTCGATTTTTTGTATTTTCAAAAAAGCTTGATTTTCTATATTTTCCAAAAAACACGAATTCCTGTATTTCTACAAAACTCAATTTTTTATATTTTCAAAAAAACACTTCTTTTTCAAATTTTCAAAAAAAAAATTTAATTTTTCATATTTTTGAAAAAATTCAATTATTTCATATTTTCGAAAAAATTTGACTTTTTCATATTTTCGAAAAAACTAAATTTTTTTCATATTTTCGAAAAAAGCTTAAGTATTTCATTTTTTGAAAAAAAACTTGACTTTTTTATATTTCGGACAAAAATTGACTTTTTTCATATTTTATAAAAAAACTCGACTTTTTCATATTTTTAAAAAAATTCGACTTTTTTCATATTTCTAAAAAAACTTGACTTTTTCATATTTTCGAAAAAAACTCAATTTTTTCATATTTTCAAATAAAGTTGATTTTTTGTTTTTCTGAAAAGAATCGATTTTTTTTCACATTCTAAAAAAATTTGAATTTTTCATATTTCTGAAAAAACTCAAAATTTTCATATTCTAAAAAAATTCGACTTTTTCATATTTCTGAAAAAACTCGAATTTTTCATATTTCTGAAAAAACTCGACTTTTTAATATTTCCGAAAATAATTTACTTTTACATATTTACAAAAAAATTGACTTTTTCATATTTAGGAAAAGAAAACTCGACTTTTTCATATTTCCGAAAAAACTTGACTTTTTTCATATTTCCGAAAAAAAACTCTACTTTTTCATATTTTCGAAAAAAACTCAATTTTTTCTTATTTCCGAAAAAACTCGATTTTTTGTATTTCCAAAAAAATTAGATTTTTTTTCATATTTTCGGAAAAACTCGATTTTTCATATTTTTGAAAAAAATTGACTTTTTCATATTTTCGGAAAACTCGACTTTTTTCATATTTCCGAAAAAACTCAATTTTTTCATATTTTTGAAAAAACTTGACTTTTCCATATTTTCGAAAAAAACTCGACTTTTTCATATTTCCAATAAAATTTGACTTTTTCATATTTCCGGAAAAAAATTCAATTTTTTGTATTTCCGAAAAAACTCTATTTTTTCATATTTTTTAATATATTCGATTTATTGTGTTTTCGAAAAAAAATTGATGTTTCGTATTTTTGAAATAATATTAGTTTTTCTTTTATTTTCAGGAAAAAATTAATAATTTTCAAGAAATAAAAAATATAGTTTCTAGAGTTTTTTTTTAAAAAAAATTTGAATTTTTTTTTTCAAATTTTTTTTTACTCTCAATTAATTTTTTAAATTAAAAACTAATTAATTTATGTTCTGGACTGGACCGACGCTTAACCCACAACCAAGCAGACCCAAGCCCCAATGAGGTTGGGCCCATGAATACCACGTTGACGGGCAGAAGTCCCGTCGAGGACCACCTCTCCCCGTCGGGCATAGGCCAACAGCTGTCGGGCAGGTCCCTCGCAACCGACCAACCAGCCTCTTTCTCCCCCGTGGTCGGGCAGAGTCCAGTCTGCCCGGGGAGCTCCTCGGGCTGCCCCCACGTCCTCCACGTGTCCCTCACTTTGTTTGACATCGAAGTGTGTTTCAGGTACACCCCCTCCTCCTCCATACCTTCGGTGGACAGCTAGCAGATCAACGACACGGAACAGATCATAGATCCCCTTCTAGTCAGGTACGATCAATGGCGCCATCTGTGGGAAACTAAGCTTCCCCATTCCTCCGAGCAGAGAACCAAAGCCTCACCTCTCAAATCTCAAGATCATGACTAGCCTACGCCATGATGACGTTGTTCACAACTCCGCCATCGCCCCGATCACCAACGGCGACAACCAGTCGGGGACGTCTCAACCCCACGAGATCGGCGTCAAGGACGGCCAAACTGCTTCTCCTTCGTCCGAGGAGGTTACACACCATGTCGTTCCTCAGGCGAGGAGTCCGACGGTATTTCAGCCCATTCCTACACCGGCTGGAGCGGACCCGACGATGGTTGCCCTATTCGCAGCCATTAACCAGACGGACCAGATGTTGTTCCAACAAAATGAGCGCATCGACGCGCTGGAACATGACACCTTGTCCCGCTCTCCTCCACGGAAAAATTAGCGCGGGAGCTCCCGGAGCCCTTCTCCACGACCACGGGGGCGTCCGCCACAGTTGGAGAGGCCCTAACCGGTGGCCTCTAAGAAACGAGCAAGATCACCACCCCGGAAGGAGAGGAGGTCCCCGGAGCTAAGGGCGAACGAGCCTAAAGCCCCCGCTAGAAGGCCGAGGGGCGTAACCCGCCTCCTCGACATGAACTGTCGCCTCCGCAATCCCCGGTTCGCAGCGACGAGGACGACTACAGGACTCCTCTATCGCGGGAAATCATGGCAGCCTCTATTCTCCACGGGATGGAGAAACCATCCGTGCTCTTGACGTACGACGGCACCTCGGACCCAGACGATCATCTGGAAGAC